ACTGTATGAGTGTTTATTTATTAAAATTTTTAATAGTTAACCATACTTAAAAAATATATATATATATATATATATATATAAATTAAAAAATCAGGTCTAGACAAGCTATTGCTTAAATGCATTATCTTTTACTTTTCAGGAAAAGCTGGTATTCTGAACTTTCGGGTGTTCAAATGGGTCACCGCTTCTCCAAACGCAAGCTGGAGGGCACAGATAACTTGTCCCCAGGTCGCTTTTCGGTCAGTGAAGAGGCTCCACCGCATTACTCCTCTTACAGCACCGGCAGTGAGACGGCTGTCAGCATGGAAACTCCGACACGAAGGCCGTCAGAAGTTGTGAACTCAAGGCAGGACAATAGACGACCTTCTATATACAGCACCATGGATGCCATGCCGCATCTCGAGTTTTATGCTAACGCCACCGCCACGGGCCGCATTCGGCGCTGCAGGCCATCGCTGGAGACACTGCGCAAGGCTATTGATGTGGGTCATATGCTGTAAAAAAGTATAGTAGCCCTGAAGAACCGGAGGCCGCAGATTTAGGACCGCATGTAACAGCGCAATCCAATTCTACTCCATCCGAGGAGACCTGATTCAAAACTAAAACAAACAGGCGCAAATTAAAGACACACGGAAAAATATTCAAATTTTAACTTTTATTATTATTACTATATATATATATATATTTTTTTTTACGTAAGGGCGGGTCTGGGCTTCTGGTTTTTGCCTTTTCCAGTTATTTAGCTGTGCAAAAGCCATTATTTATGCTGCTTGATGTTGCAAACTGGTGTTTTTTAACATACTGCTTTAGATTATTATTGCATTAATAAACACATTAATTTGGCGCAAACCATTTACCGTGTAAACGGTTTACCGCGCTTTGTTATTTTTTTGTTATTTGTATTTTGGAACAGAATACAGACTATACGGAAAAATATTCAAATTTTAACTTTTATTATTATTACTATATATATATTTTTTTTTTTTTTACGTAAGGGCGGGTCTGGGCTTCTGGTTTTTGCCTTTTCCAGTTATTTAGCTGTGCAAAAGCCATTATTTATGCTGCTTGATGTTGCAAACTGGTGTTTTTTAACATACTGCTTTAGATTATTATTGCATTAATAAACACATTAATTTGGCGCAAACCATTTACCGTGTAAACGGTTTACCGCGCTTTGTTATTTTTTTGTTATTTGTATTTTGGAACAGAATACAGACTATTTGGCATATTTGAACCGAATGCAATTTATGCCTACTTCTGCTTTGACAAATGGGGTATTTCTTCCAGGAAAATTAAATTTTTAACCAAAATACTAATAAAACATATTTGATTAAAACAATTCCTGAGAGTTAGCTGCAGTTATATTTAGGGTTTAGGGGCTGGTTAGGAGAATATATCAATTCAATTTTAATTCATTCTAATCGCCCAATTTAATTGTAAAGTAAATGCTATAAAATACTATAAAGTATGAGGGGGAAAAAAACACCTAAATTCCAAATTGCCGTCCTGAAACTAGTGTCCAGTACCGCAAGATCACGCTACTCTGTTGTAATGTACTTTCAAATTACTCTGTATGCATTTCAATTGTAAATATGCATGTATGTATTGGTTTAGGATGCAGAATCCGGCAGTAACATGGGGGACTCTGGTAGGGGAAGCGTTTCAGCGCTACAGGAGAGTGGAATCGAGTCAGAGGAAAACGGGCCAGGAGGAAAGACCGCCCAGCCTGTGCGCTTTGGATGGATCACCGGGGTTATGGTGAGAAACCGTGAAATGTACATATGCATGCGTGCAAAAGGTCAAATGCACACGTGCATACATGCTCTGTTTCTGTGTTCCAGATTCGCTGTATGTTGAATATCTGGGGAGTCATTCTGTTCCTGCGATTGTCCTGGATCACATCTCAAGCAGGAATCCGTAAGCCTGCATTTTTATTAATATATAAAACAGTTCCATAAAGTGGTTACTTTTTCACCTGGCCAATCTAGTTGGGGGAAAAAAGATACTGTCAGTGCAATGACTTCCTACAATGAAACCACAGGCTATTTTACTTGGTAAAGATAATGTTGCTCAAGAAATGTCCATGTCAGGACTTACCAGAACTCTGTGTAATATCTGATGGCCACTTATCTTTGATGTGTTTTGTCTACTCTGTCAGTTGAAGCTCTGTACAGACACTCTGTCCTTTTCCTTTTTTTATTTCCTCTGCTTTAGTTCTTACATGGTTAATCATACTGATGTCAGTCCTTGTGACCTCCATAACGGCTCTGTCTGTATCTGCCATTTCCACCAATGGAAGAGTCTCTTCTGGTAAGTCACTCGACAAGAGTGTGACATCAAGCTGATCAGAATGTGATAATCAGTGATGCTTTGCTGCGTAACTCATCCTTCGTTTCTGCTATGGACATATAATGATGTGACTTATTGGAGAGAAGTGTGCTGGCGAGGTCTAAGCAACTGGGCAAAAACGTCAATAGATTCTGATTGAAACAAGGACCTGATTCTTATCTAGAGACCAGAGTGAAGTTTTTAAAAATGTTTAATGTGGATCAGAACGATCTGGATTTGGTCAGGATCAAAATCAAGAAACCAACCAGTTTTTAAGATCTGATCCTATCCGATCACCGAAATCCCAAATTACTTTTGAACAACTAGGCCCAGAATATCACAGTAGCCTCCTTCGGCCATTAAGCAACCAGCAGCATCATATTTCTTTACATTTCTCTCTCATTTCTCTCCTTTAAAAAATGCTAAAAGTTCATTAATACAATAAAATTAATATATACGTGTGTATGTATATATATATATATATATATATATATATTAATGAACTTTTTTTTTTTTAATTTATACATTTTTATTTGATATATTTTGATATATCATGAGCCTGCAGTTTCTTCACACACCTCTAGAGATTCACAAAGCCCTTGTTAGGAAACTTATAACATAGTGTTTTCCTTTTCTTTTCATTCTCTCATAGACTCAGATCCTGTTCTTCTTGGTTCTTATGGTGTCTTTCGTCAACTATTTTGTTGGCACTTTGATTCCAGCGACTCCCCAGAAACAGTCCATAGGTGTCTTCGGTTACCGCAGTGAGTGTGAAACGTGCTGCATCCCAGAAATCTTTCATAACAAACTGTCTGTCAAGAAACAAATAGGTTTTAGTCAGTTCCTAGATTTTTAATTGGTTTAGAAATATTTAACTTCTATAAAACCAGACAGGATTACTTAGTACCATACACATAACTGTAAAGATGTATGCAATGTTTGTTTGAAAATGAAAGTTATGTCATTATTTACTCACTCAGTTTATGGGTTTGGAATGACATACAAAACAGTTATTTTTTTGTGAAACACAAAAGCACAAATTCTTTTGATTTATGACTTTAGCTGTAATCTTTTCAAACTTCTTTTAGGGTGTCTTTTTGCCCTTTTTGTAGTTTGTTAGACATATTCACTATGAAGTGTTATATGGAAAAAATGTTCTGAAGTGAAAAAAACTGCTAAATTGTTCATTAGCATGCAGGTTTAAAGCAACATAAGAATGGCAAAATTATGACAGGAGTTTCATTAGTGTTGATCGTTTACTTTCAACACACCCCAGAGATGATCTTGCAAGATAACTAAAGTATTTTGATATTTTCCAGGCGAGATCTTCTTGGAGAACCTCTTCCCAGACTGGAGAGGGGCAGACGGCGACTTCTTCCGAATGTTTGCCATCTTCTTCCCATCTGCCATTGGGATCCTTGCTGGAGCAAACATCTCAGGAGATCTGAAGGTAACGAGCATCTGCAAACATGCCAAAAACAAAGAGACGCTACTAACCTTCGAGTTCTTTAGAGGGTTTTTTTTACAGTTCTTGAATGCATAAATGAATGCGTGGAGTTTTTGTGACAGTGATTTTGATCAGAGACGTGCGACTATGGCTCTAAGGTGTTGATGGAGTGCTGTGTTTGTGGATGTTTCAGGAGCCTGAGATTGCCATCCCAAGAGGGACACTGATGGCCATATTCTGGACCACCATCAGCTATTTAGCCATTTCTTCAACTGTAGGTGAGTTCCGGTGCTTGATTCTGATTGGCTGAGCCGCGTTCGAAGCTGTTGTAAAATACTCTACAAACATACACCTTTTTTTACATTTGTGTGTTGCTCGGCAACCTCAACCGTTTCTGAAGAACTACATTGTTTGGTGGAAGAATAATGTTTTTATTAACATAATTACACTTGATTTGCTCTGTTTTATTCTGTAAAACCTTACTATGTATATGGAATAGCCGTTTTATGAAAGCAATAACCCCCGTGAAGCCGTGCTTTACAGTAAATTTATAATAGCTTTGCGTTGTGCCTAACAACACCCCTTAGCTGTTATAAATTCACTGTAAACCACGGCTTCTTGGTGCTTATTGCTTTATTATTACCAAACTCATATGCCATTATGGGCAATGTGAGCTGAGTACCAGCACCTATGTTCAAGAAGTCAGTTTATTGTAAATAATAATCATTATAAGCATTTTAATGAGTACAATAACCAGCTGTTCATGCTTGTAAAGCAACATAGCACTTTTGTGCATACAGCTGTCCTTTTTTTAAGTGAAACATCTTCTCTCTATCTTTGATTGATGTTAATAGATTGTCTCATGCATTGATTATAGAGTAGAGGTTTAAACGTCTGTGTTTGTCCCGCAGGAGCGTGTGTGCTGCGCGACGCCTCCGGGAGCATGAACGACAGTCTGCCGCTGAACTTCAGCGAGCCGTGTGAGGGTCTGAGCTGCGGTCTGGGCTGGAACTTCACCGAGTGTCAGCAGAGCGGCACCTGCGCCTTCGGCCTCTCTAATAACTTCCAGGTGAGGCTCTTCAGATTGCTGCTGTCCTCTCGACGAGGCACCGGTCGGATGTCTTCTCACATGAGGCTGAGAGAACATGATTCATGTTTTGGTGTGTGAATGTAAGACGGGTTAGTCTAGAGGTTATAGTTAATAAACCCAGTAAACGCCTGGGAACTGACAGCCAGTGATGCTGAATGAAGCAGAGCAGAACAGGAGAACAGCAGAGGATCAGTACATAATAATGACACTATATTCGGTTTAATGCAAATGATCCACAGCAGATGTGGCCTAACCAGACCAGACCAGACCAGACCAGACCAGACCAGACCAGACCAGACCAGACCAGACCAGACCAGACCAGACCAGACCAGACCAGACCAGACCAGACCAGACCAGACCAGACCAGACCAGACCAGACCAGACCAGACCAGACCAGACCAGACCAGACCAGACCAGACCAGACCAGACCAGACCAGACCAGACCAGACCAGACCAGACCAGGGATTTTTGCCACAGCATTTTACAGAATCATTTCTTTCTTTCTTTCTTTCTTTCTTTCTTTCTTTCTTTTCCTCTTTCTTTCTTTCTTTCTTTCTTTCTCTATTTTCCTCTTTCATTCTTTCTCTTTCTTTCTTTCTTTCTTGTTCTTCTTTCTTGCTTTCTCTTTCTTTCTCTTTCTTTCTCATTCTTCTTTCTTTCTTTCTCGTTCTTCTTTCTCTCTATTTTCCTCTTTCATTCTTTCTATATATTTTTTTCTTTCTTTTCTTCTTTTTATATTTTCCTCCTTTCTTTCTTTCTCGTTCTTTCTTTCTTTCTTTCTCGTTCTTTCTTTCTCTATTTTTCTTTCTTTCTTTCTTTCTTTCTTTCTTTCTTTCTTTCTCACTCTTATTTTTTTATTTATAAGTGTATTTATTTATTTATTTTCACTTAGGATAGACTTTTATATTCATTTATTGTATTTGGGTTACTAGATTTAATAACTCCTGTATGTATTTCTTAAAATGGTTATTAATCATTTTAAGTTAATTATCATTTTATTCCTTCCTTCCTTCCTTCCTTCCTTCCTTCCTTCCTTCCTTCCTTCCTTCATTCATTCATTTTGGAAGTTGCATTCAAAATCTGAGCATGTATATTTCTATGGTTTATCTTGAAATATATAATTGTAGGTAACTTATAGTTGAGTTTAATTAGTCAAACTGTTCTCTACTCTTCTGTATCGCTCTTTCAGACGCTCCACTGGTTTGACAGATTAAATAATTATGCACTAATGTGGTTTCAATGTGGTGTCCCGCTCAAACCCCCAGGTCCTGATCCAGGTCTCCGGCTTTGGTCCGTTGATCTATGCGGGCATATTTGCAGCCACCCTGTCGTCCGCCCTTGCGTTCCTCGTCTCCGCACCCAAAGTCTTCCAGGTAAAATGGCCTACTCTAAAGCAGATAATAGCTAATATGCAACTTAATAAGCTCATCAAAGTGAACATAGCCTGTAAATTCAAACAAAAACACTTTTTTCCCACCTCCTCTTGGGACAGTGTCTCTGCAAAGACAACATCTACCCGTTCATCGGCTTCTTTGCAAAGGGTTACGGGAAAAACAGCGAGCCACTGCGAGCATATCTGCTGTGTTACATCATCGCCATGTGCTTCATTCTGATTGGTGAGTCAAAAAGCGACATACTATTTAACACAACTTGTATAATTCAGAGATAATGTACACTTATATATAACATGCACATTTGTTTATGGGTAACTGGAATGAAAAAAAAAACTCTTTGCATTTAAAGAGTTTAAATGCAAAAAAGGTGACTATTTGCAGCTATGCCGTTTCCTTTATACATTCTCAAACATTTTAAACATATAATTTTGATGTTAAATAAAATGTTGTCATCTATCATTGTATACTGTATGTATTCTGTCTGTATGTTTACTGTATAAATCATTTTTAATATCTCCACAGCTGAGCTGAACGTAATCGCTCCTCTGATCTCCAACTTCTTCCTCTGTTCTTACGCTCTCATCAACTTCAGCTGCTTCCATGCTTCTATCACTAATTCTCCCGGTGAGTAAAAATGAATGAATCTGATTATCTGTTCTATGCATATTTTGAAGACTGAATAGGTTATACGCACATAAAATTACATTGAAGTGTTTGAGATTGTCATTGTCTTAGTGTGGAAACTTTGCTGTTGGAAACTATTATAAATAATAATACTAATAATGAGAGTCATTCAAAATATTTATGTAAACAAGTAATGCTTCCATTTAAGTTGCTTTTTGAAAGCCTGTTGAGTCCAGATCTATAGTAACACACTCTCTTCTGTTTCCTGAACATTTCTTCTGCTCGTTTTCAGGATGGAGGCCATCGTTTCGGTATTTCAGCCCCTGGACGGGTTTGTTTGGTGCCGTTATTTCTGTGGTACTGATGTTCCTGCTCACCTGGTGGGCGGCGCTCATTGCTTTCGGTTTAATCATCTTCTTATTCGGCTACGTCGTCTATAAGAAACCCGGTGAGATGCTGACCTTTCAGAATAATGATCGCACTGAATGGTATGCTTTAAATAAAATGACCAGGATGTCTGAATGCTTTTGTGTCGTTCAAGAGGTGAACTGGGGTTCGTCTATCCAGGCCAGTACCTACAACATGGCTCTGTCCTACTCCGTGTCTCTAGCAGGAGTCGAAGATCACGTCAAAAACTACAGGTCAGCTCTGTTTTTACAGCACAATCCGTTTTTTATTCATGTTCCTGGTTTTATTGTGAATGGTTCATCAGTGCATGTTATTAAAATGCTTTGTGTGCATTGATCTTAATGCAGAAATCATTTTAATCACAAAAGGGCAAGTTAATACTGATAACCGATAGTCGAGGTCCATATATTCACTCGTTGGTTTCGTCTCATCAGGCCTCAGTGTCTGGTGTTGCAGCTATGCCGTTTCCTTTATACATTCTTAAACATTTTAAACATATAATTTTGATGTTTAAAAAAATGTTGTCATCTATCATTGTATACTGTATGTATTCTGTATGTTTACTGTATAAATCATTTTTAATATCTCCACAGCTGAGCTGAACGTAATCGCTCCTCTGATCTCCAACTTCTTCCTCTGTTCTTACGCTCTCATCAACTTCAGCTGCTTCCACGCTTCTATCACTAATTCTCCCGGTGAGTAAAAATGAATGAATCTGATTATCTGTTCTATGCATATTTTGAAGACTGAATAGGTTATACGCACATAAAATTACATTGAAGTGTTTGAGATTGTCATTGTCTTAGTGTGGAAACTTTGCTGTTGGAAACTATTATAAATAATAATACTAATAATGAGAGTCATTCAAAATATTGAATGTAAACAAGTAATGCTTCCATTTAAGCTGCTTTTTGAAAGCCTGTTGAGTCCAGATCTATAGTAACACACTCTTGTCTGTTTCCTGAACATTTCTTCTGCTCGTTTTCAGGATGGAGGCCATCGTTTCGGTATTTTAGCCCCTGGACGGGTTTGTTTGGTGCCGTTATTTCTGTGGTACTGATGTTCCTGCTCACCTGGTGGGCGGCGCTCATTGCTTTCGGTTTAATCATCTTCTTATTCGGCTACGTCGTCTATAAGAAACCCGGTGAGATGCTGACCCTTCAGAATAATGATCGCACTGAATGGTATGCTTTAAATAAAATGACCAGGATGTCTGAATGCTTTTGTGTCGTTCAAGAGGTGAACTGGGGTTCGTCTGTCCAGGCCAGTACCTACAACATGGCTCTGTCCTACTCCGTGTCTCTAGCAGGAGTCGAAGATCACGTCAAAAACTACAGGTCAGCTCTGTTTTTACAGCACAATCCGTTTTTTAATTCATGTTCCTGGTTTTATTGTGAATGGTTCATCAGTGCATGTTATTAAAATGCTTTGTGTGCATTGATCTTAATGCAGAAATCATTTTAATCACAAAAGGGCAAGTTAATACTGATAACCGATAGTCGAGGTCCATATATTCACTCGTTGGTTTCGTCTCATCAGGCCTCAGTGTCTGGTTCTGACGGGTCCTCCGACTCTGCGTCCAGCGCTGGTGGACTTTGTGGGCTCTTTCACTAAAAATGTCAGTTTGATGATTTGTGGCGACATTCACATGGTAAGAACCAGCTGAATAACGTATTTGCCTTTTTTTTTTTTTTTTTACTTCTAAATGAGACAGTTCTGCCCTCAAAAGACCAAAAAAAAAAAAAAAAGTAAAAAATGGTTCTGATTGTTTTTAGGATGATGAGAAGTCTGTGTCTCAGCGCAATTCTAATGACATGATAAAGTGGCTCAATCAGAGGAAGGTTCGTTCCTTCTACACGTCTTTCAAGGCATCCGGTCTGAGAGAAGGAGCCCGGCATCTTCTGCAGGTTACAAACGCCACAATGCTTCAGTGATGGAACATGAGTACACATCACTGTGCAAATCGCTTTTCGCATGAATTATTGCTTTCAATTCAGTGGGACGATTACTGTACTTTAAAATGGTTTTGTACGTTGCACAGAATGACTGCTTGTGTTTCATGCATAAAGCATGAGTGATTTTTAATCTCTGTGCTGTTTGTTGCAGTTTTTTTTTTTCTCTAATGAGTTTGTTTAATGTATAAAATGTGATTTTTTTTCCCCCATCTCAAGGCTTCTGGTTTGGGGAAGTTGAAGCCGAATATACTGGTGATGGGATTCAAAATGAACTGGCATGAAAGCAGCAGTAAAGGCATAGAGGACTATATCAACACCATATAGTGAGTGAAAAGAACCTCTCAACTCCAGAGATCTGTAGAGAAAGACAGGAAAGCCTAATCTCATTCTCTTGAGTGTAATGCAGAAACTAACATTCTTTAACATTTATTAAAGTGTTTATACACCATGAACGTGTTTGTTATACTACTTTAACTTATGCTGTTTTTAATAATATTAATAATTATAAAACAGCATGATAAAGTAACGTTTTCTAAAGAGAATCTCCATTGAGAATGAGAATTTGGAATTTGGAGGGAAAACTTGGAATTTGAATGGAAAATATGGAAATTTGGGACGGAATGTGAAAATTGGAGGGGGAAATGTGAAGATTTGCAGGGAAAATTTGAATTTTGGAGGGAAAACATGCATAATTGTCTTTATGTAAATTATTGTAACCTGAATTTGGCCTTGATATGTGACCTGGACATGTTTTTTGTGAAATTCACTCAACTAGAAGCTAAAATAAAGTATATTTGTTTGGTCTCAGTGATGCTTTTGACTCCAACCACGGCGTGTGTGTTCTCCGCATGATGGACGGACTGGACATCCGAGACGAGTTAGAGACTGAGGGTATGTTGTGTTCGTCTGTGCGTGTGTATGTCTCGTACAATCATTGAACAATTTCAGTAATGCTTTCCTGTGTGTTTGACAGTCAACCAGGCTTTTGAGGTGGACGAGGCCATAGAGTCTGACGATCAGATTTCAGACGCTGACTCAGGTGAATAAAACGATCGATGCGTCCTCTCTTTGTTCTTCAACCTTATCTCTTTTTTCCTTAAAATGGAACAGTTTTCCCCTCAAAAAGCAAAAAAAAAAAAAAAAAACTAAAAAATGGTTCTGATTGTTTTTAGGATGATGAGAAGTCTGTGTCTCAGCGCAATTCTAATGACATGATAAAGTGGCTCAATCAGAGGAAGGTTCGTTCCTTCTACACGTCTTTCAAGGCATCCGGTCTGAGAGAAGGAGCCCGGCATCTTCTGCAGGTTACAAACGCCACAATGCTTCAGTGATGGAACATGAGTACACATCACTGTGCAAATCGCTTTTCGCATGAATTATTGCTTTCAATTCAGTGGGACGATTACTGTACTTTAAAATGGTTTTGTACGTTGCACAGAATGACTGCTTGTGTTTCATGCATAAAGCATGAGTGATTTTTAATCTCTGTGCTGTTTGTTGCAGTTTTTTTTTTTCTCTAATGAGTTTGTTTAATGTATAAAATGTGATTTTTTTTCCCCCATCTCAAGGCTTCTGGTTTGGGGAAGTTGAAGCCGAATATACTGGTGATGGGATTCAAAATGAACTGGCATGAAAGCAGCAGTAAAGGCATAGAGGACTATATCAACACCATATAGTGAGTGAAAAGAACCTCTCAACTCCAGAGATCTGTAGAGAAAGACAGGAAAGCCTAATCTCATTCTCTTGAGTGTAATGCAGAAACTAACATTCTTTAACATTTATTAAAGTGTTTATACACCATGAACGTGTTTGTTATACTACTTTAACTTATGCTGTTTTTAATAATATTAATAATTATAAAACAGCATGATAAAGTAACGTTTTCTAAAGAGAATCTCCATTGAGAATGAGAATTTGGAATTTGGAGGGAAAACTTGGAATTTGAATGGAAAATATGGAAATTTGGGACGGAATGTGAAAATTGGAGGGGGAAATGTGAAGATTTGCAGGGAAAATTTGAATTTTGGAGGGAAAACATGCATAATTGTCTTTATGTAAATTATTGTAACCTGAATTTGGCCTTGATATGTGACCTGGACATGTTTTTTGTGAAATTCACTCAACTAGAAGCTAAAATAAAGTATATTTGTTTGGTCTCAGTGATGCTTTTGACTCCAACCACGGCGTGTGTGTTCTCCGCATGATGGACGGACTGGACATCCGAGACGAGTTAGAGACTGAGGGTATGTTGTGTTCGTCTGTGCGTGTGTATGTCTCGTACAATCATTGAACAATTTCAGTAATGCTTTCCTGTGTGTTTGACAGTCAACCAGGCTTTTGAGGTGGACGAGGCCATAGAGTCTGACGATCAGATTTCAGACGCTGACTCAGGTGAATAAAACGATCGATGCGTCCTCTCTTTGTTCTTCAACCTTATCTCGCTCCTCCTTTCATCTACTTCTGTCCTTTTAGATGTCGACAACACAAAGAACACGGCGAACGATCAGATCAAAACCGTGTTCCAGAGCAAACAAGGGAAGAAGACCATCGACGTGTACTGGATCTCTGACGACGGAGGTCAGATGTGGACTGTAATCATTACAAGGCTTCAATCGTCATAATTTGTGTCTGATAACCCGCCAGTTAACACTAAACAGTTGAGTAATGCGGTTAACGTCCTTAAAGTCTCCCTCTCTTTGTCTCAGGTTTGACTCTGCTAGTGCCATACTTGTTGACCAGAAGGAAACGCTGGAGACGGAGCAAAGTCAGAGTCTTCATCATTGGAGACCAGCAAACCATGGAGAACGACCGCAAGGAGTGAGACTCGCGAATCATTTGAATCATCTGAACTATCTGAATCATGGCCTATATGAAAGAGAAAGTGGCAGAAGAGATTTGAATATCTCACATTCCTTCTAGACAGCAATTGAATTAAATTGAGAAACGTTCTAATGTTTCAGAAAAGCATCTCACTAATGTCTCAAAGTGTGCTCAGATTCGCCTAGATAAAATCAGATCTCTATATGAACTCTATAAAGCATTTCTGTCAAATTCCCCCAAGATCAAATTATCTCTTGTGGTGTAATCATTGGAATAATCAGATTCAAGAACTTTAGATCTAATTATTTCAGGATCATTCGAATCATTAATATTATATTTGACCGAAAATCGTAACTGTTTAAATGAACAGAATCATCGAATTCAGACTCATCTGAATCTTCAAACCATCACTTATTAGAAAAATCAGAATCAGGAGAGTTATCCGAATCATTAAAAGAATCATTCTAATCATCTGAATCAATAGGGCATAATCTGAATCATCAAAATTATTAGAATCAGCCAACAATTCCATTAGCTACATAAATCCCAGTTCCTTTAGAATTCAAAGCGTAATTTTAAAAGCGAAGAGCATTTTGTATCGCAAGTATTTCGAAAATTCACATGAAAGCTGTCAGTTACGGTACTGTTCCTGAGTATTTATTATTTTATTAATAAAATCTCTTATCTTGTTCAGAATGATGACTTTGCTCCAGCGTTTCCGGCTGGATGTTCACGATGTCATCGTGGTGACGGACAGCGAAAGGCCACCACTCGCCAAAAAGTACGTTTAGCCCAGATGGGTAATTAATGTGCAATCAATTTGAAGCAAAGAAAGTGATGTGCTCTGGTAATAACACCCAAATGTAGTAACAGATCGTCTTTGTCATCAGCATGAGGCGCTTTGAGGAAACGCTTACCCCCTTCAGGCTGAATGAGGGACAGCTGGACGAGAGGACGGCGCAGCAGCAGAGGACAGAGTTTACGTGGAAAGTCACGGACAAAGAGATGGACGCACTGAGACCCAAGGTGTGTGTGTGTGTGTGTGTTTGACCTCAATGTCCAGTTACAGTACTCGCCAGCTCAAGGTTTCTTTCTTCCTTTGACAGTCGGAGAAGAAAGTGCGGCTGAATGAAATCATACGGAGGAATTCGAAGTACGCCGCACTGGTTCTAGTGTGAGTATTGACTGTAATATCATTAACTATTACTGGCTGCTGGTCAATATGTAATTCATACACAAAGCACAATCTGATAATATTGGAGCTTCATGAATCATTTACGTTTTAAATGTAAGAATCATAATTTGAGGGCAAACACACCTGTTAATTATTGATAAACCTGTGTGTGTGTGTGTGTGTGTGTTTTAGGTCTCTCCCCGTAGCGCAGGCAGATTGTCCCAGTTCTCTCTATATGTCCTGGCTGGACACACTGAGCTACGGCATCCACTGTCCCGTCCTGCTCATACGAGGAAACCAGCAGAACGTCATGACCTTCTACTGCCAGTGATACAGCCACGCGGTTTACTCACTTATCCGGCTCTTTAAGGCGAGACACTAAAGGAAAGCTATTTGGCTTGTTTCATGGTTCAGAATAGTGGACGGAAAACATTCAAAATACACTTCAGTGCTTATTTGCGCTTTCTTTATTTGTGTCTGTAGATTTCAGTTTCAATCCATGTCTTTAAAGGCCAATTTCTCAAAAAGAGTTTCTATCTCGGCACTTACATTCTGAAGATTTGTTCATATTTTTTGCCTGAGTTTTATTATTGCAGTTTATTTGTGACCCTGGGGCACAAAAGCAGTCTTAAGTCGCTGGGGTATATTTGAAGCAATAGCCAAAATGGGTCAAAATTATAGATTTTTCTTTTATGCCAAAAAATCATTGGGATATTAAGTAAAGATCATGTTTCTTCAAGATATTTTGTACATTTCCTACTGTAAATATATTAAAACTTCATTTTTGATTAGTAATATGCATTGCTAAGAACTTCATTTGGACAACTTTAAAGCTGATTTTCTCAATATTTAGATTTTTTGGCACCCTCAGATTCCAGATTTTCAAATAGTTGTATCTCAGCCAAATATTGTCCTAATCTAACAAACTATTCATCAATGGAAAGCTTATTTATTCAGCTTTCAGATGATTTATACATCTTATGACTGGTCTTGGGGTCACATTTATGTCTGTAGATTTCAATTGCAGTGCATATATTTAAAGGCCATTTTCTCCAAATGAGTATATATCTCCATTTTAGCAGCACTTACATCCAATTTCACATTTTTATTCCTGTCTATATTCTGAAAGTTTTTATAGAAGGGTCTGATTTTATTATTGCACTTTAACGTATGTAGTATCACCTACTAACCTCATATTTTACAGTTTTATTCTTGTTTATATTCATTTTTTATAAAGGGGTTTGTTCATATATCATTCATCTGATAATACACAACATTGAAATTGTAATTTTTTTCTGGCTGTTGATGGTATTTTCTGATTATGGAGTAAAGAGAAAGATACATCCAAAATCGCCTCTCTAAACTTAATCCCCTCTTCATAACTTAAGATTTCAGAAAACATGTGCAGTTCATGGATTGTGTTTGTTGTTTTGCATTAAAAATATCTCAAATAAAGTACAGCAGCCCCAAAACATATCTGGACACCTGTCACACTTGTTTCTGATATTTTAACTATGACTCTAACTATATTTGAGGCCACTGTAAATGTACCTGCATAATATATTAAGTCTTCAGTTGAATGTTTTGTCTTATTCTTTTGGCTCATTTAGCTCGTTCTATGTATTCTTGCATTTCTATTTTTTTTCTTTTTGTTGTGAATTCATGTCTGTGTTATGCTGTTGTATGGTGAAAGGGAAGTTGCTGAAAATAATTATAATGGGGAACAAAAAACATTTAAATTAGTTTATCGTGTTAATGATTCATAGTTTTATTTCTTAATTTTCTATCACTATTTTTGTGCTTTGAGAAGGGGCATCTGCACACATTAACATGCAAACACTCCATGAAATCTGTGTTTAGTTCAGCTGTAATGTATTCTGCATATGCTGTGATGTTTCATTTTCTTTTATTGTGATTGAACAGCTGTTTTTATACTTGGTGTAATGAGACAATCAGTGAAGGATGAGATGTTCATCATTGTGCTAAATTGTATTTTTTCACATTGAAAAGCAGATCAAAACACTTGTAATTCATAATAATCTTAGTATGTATACGCAGTCAAAATGTAACTTTCTAAATTATTCATTATAATGTTTTGGTCAATGAAATGTAATTTTACAAAGCAAGAACGAATAAACTTATTTGATCATATTTTTAATTGTGTCTTGTTTGAATTTCATGAAACCTCAACCCTGAAATGAAGGTCCAGAGATCAGAGACAAAGTGCTTCCACATTTCTATTCTATCCTTTCTAGCCAAATGGTTAACCTGTATCATCAGTTATACAGACATAATGTGCATTAAACATACATCCACAGTCATTGCATGAGAGGATTACGCAGTTCGTCTCAGTTCAACATCTTTACATCACTGAAACTGACAGCAGATTTACATGCAGTAAGAGATGTTTAATGATGAGCTGTCACATTCACTGGCAGTAGAAGGTCATGACGTTCTGCTGGTTTCCTCGTATGAGCAGGACGGGACAGTGGATGCCGCAGCTCAGCGCGTCCAGCCAGGACATATAGAGAGAACTGGGACAGGTGACATCCGGGACTGGAAGAGAACTGACACACACACACACACACACACACACAGACAGAAACACACACTACCAGTCACACATTCGCTTAAATGGTTGACATCAGTTTTAAAGACAATTGTGACCCAGGAGCACAAAAGCAGTGTTAAGTCGCTGGGGTATATTTGTAGCAATAGCCAAAAAGACATTGTATGGATCAAAATTATAGATTTTTCTTTTATGCCGAAAATCATTAGGATATTAAGTAAAGATCATGTTCCATGAAGATATTTTGTAAATTTCCTACCGTAAATATATCAAAACTTAATGTTTGATTAGTAATATGCATTGCTAAGAACTTAATTTGGACAACTTTAAAGATGATTTTCTCAATATTTAGATTTTTTTTCGCACCCTCAGATTACAGATTTTCAAATATATGCATCTCAACCAAATATTGTCCGATCCTAACAATACCATACATCAATGGAAAGCTTATTTATTCAGAAAAATTGACACTTAAGACCGCACAAATATAAATTGGGCGACACTTTAGAATACTGTTCCGTCATTAACTGATAGCTGCACAAGAACACATGTGTAACACAATATTAGCGCTCTAGTAACTAACAATAAACTCTGATTAATGAAACAGTTAAAAAATAGTGCTTAATCTAATGTGCTAGTTCACTATTAGTTAATCAGGAACTACTATTTGTCCATACCTCCCCAAGAACCACAAAGAACTACTGTAAACAGATTCATAATTCATATGAATAATGCATAATGTATAATTACTTCTAAAGTGAAGGTCATACCCACTAGTGAATTCTTCAGAAGGAATTACTAATTATTTGGATCAGTATTCTAAAGTGAATAACACGATAACTCTCAAGTAATTACTGAAATCATTGTAAGCTTTTGAGGTTTTTGTAAGATTCTGGATCGTAATTCCTTATTCTGGTAACACTTGAGTCATTACTAGTGGGTTACCATGATCGTCACTTTAGAATTAATTATGCATTATGCATAATTCACATTAATTATGAATCTGTATATTAGCTCTTAGTAGTTCTCCGGGATATATGAAAAAAAAGTAGTTACTGATTAGCTAATAATGAACTACCACATTCAACTGAGTGCTATTACTTACTAAATCATTAATCAGAGTTTATTGTTAGTTAATAGTAGTTGCTAGAATGTTATTAGTGCATTAGTTATGTGTTCCTGTGTAGTTATTCATTAACGACAGAACAGTATTCTAAACCATAAATTGAGCTAAGTTAATTTGTTCGTCTCTTTGACATTTTCTTACTTTCCCTTTAACTGTCAACCCCATTTTTTTAAATAGGCATGCAGGTGTACTATCCAAACTTAAATTGTTGTAATTTATGAACACTTTGGGATACAGACATAAGGGAGAAAATCAGCAGATTATCGCAAAAGTGGAATGTTTAAAAAAAATTAAAGTATCAAAAAGTTATGATAGTTTAAATTTACTGTAAAGAAAATGCACTATATTAATTTTATTTTATTTTATATATAATAAATATTTTACATAACAGGTTTTACTCTAAAATTGGTATAAAATTAAAGCCTTGTGTCTAAATAAGTTATGTTCCAAATTTAAAGTTGATATGAAAAAAATTGAGGTTCCTGTGAGGAAATTTTATTTAGGGCGTTATACCACAAATAGCCACCGGGTGCCATCCAAATTCTATTGAATTTTTTTTATGCACTTTTCTGTCACAAATGTCTAGATTTCTCTGTCAATATTACTTCCATCTCAAAATAACCACCAAATATGGAATCCTGAGACTCGCACCTTTCCAATGATATGTTTTTGTCAAGATTATAAAAAGGTTTTATTCTAAAAGACCGTAATGCATTTTGTAATATGACACTTGACACCGCCCACTAAGGGGGAGGAGACCGCCAAAAGATTTTAAAGTACCATTTCCATGGTAACGCAATGTCCGATTTCAAAATGGTTTTCACAGGATGAATCCTGGGCTTCTACGCTTTCAAATGATATATGATGATTACTAAAAGATTTGATAGAGAAAAAGGACAACAACAACAAAAAAGAGCGCCAAGCGTCCCACAGGTGGGACGGTGACAGTTAAGGGGTTAAGAATTAACGGTTTTATTTAGTTTAGATTTTGTCGACTGGTCATCCGGCTTTGTTGACTGAAGTACGTATATTAAGAGAGTTGAGAAGCCAAAATTATGACAAATTGCTTGTGATGTCACTCATTTGTCATTTGCCTATTGGCTGAACAGGAAAAACAACTCTAATCTAACCATAGTTTTATTTTACTATTATTGATAAACTATTACAGTTTTAGTTAATAATATGAATTACATTTTAGTTTTACATGTTCTCTTTTTTCGTTTTCATAATTTAGTTGCTTTTTATCATTGCAATCTTTTTAAAAATGTCTTTATAGCATTTAAGTTAGGTTGAAGTTAGTTTTGCCTTTTTGTTACTGCAACTAATCGAAAATGAGAAATGTTGAATTTGCAAGTAGCTGAAATCAAATGTTTATATTATTTATTTCAATTAATGTTTATTGTATTGCAAGTAGTGATTTTATTGTGGTTCTAGTTAAAAATAATAACTCTGATCTGTACTCACATTACAACCAGAGCAGCGTGAATTGATTTCTTCTTGATGATCTCGTTTAGTCTCACCGTCCTCTGTACCTGAAAATAAAAGACAGTTTAATAGAGAGACTGATGATTATACTCGAGTCAAATTTATTTGTTAATGTACACATTATTTCAAAGCACTTTCACAGAAACAAACT